CTACTTGCAATCTACTCTACAGGCCATCTATACAATCTAACCCTAAGCAAATAGAGATGAGCTTTTTCTAGAGTCCATTTTAATGCCCTCCCATCAGCTTCATTGGTGGGAAGATTTTATGGAACTCCTTATTTGCAGCGACTTTGCCCTTGTGGATCCCGGAAGGTAGAGCCTCTCACTCATGTTCTCATACAGCATTCTTTTTATGATGCCCAAAAAGGTGATCTGATCACTGTAATCATTTTCAAATACAATAGCCACTTTGATAAATCTTATTTTTATTATTTTTAAGGAATACCCCATACTCACATACCAGGTGGCCAAATATTTTCACCAAGTTATACAATTGCACAAACTTTTAAGTAGATATGTCTTTTTATTGTCTTTTTTTTTCTTTTTTCCAATAATGAATAGCTTGCCAAACAATCTTTCTTTTTCATTTTAAAGGCTGGTCAAACACTGTTATAAAGATCTTTATTTCATTAATAACTGATATTAGCATAATAAAGAAAATAGAAAACAGCATCAGAAAAGTGTGATTCTTTGCTATAGCTTTGGAGACCTGATTACCTGTTTGGCTTGTAACTGATTGCCTTACCCTATATGTTGTTAGACAAGATTCCTTTACCTTATACTGTGTAGCAAACTGCCTAACTAAAAATAACAAGGAGAGCATGGGAGAGAAAGAGGCAGGCAAGTTTGCTTCTTAGAAGAATATCATAAATTTACTGTGTACATCCCTAACATATTCACAATATGAGAAGACATGCCAAATTGTTTTGTCCAACTCCTGAGCCACAAAGTACACTCCTTTTAGGGGGTCCTATTATCTGCCTTCCAGCAGAGCAGATGGAAAACGTTAAATTGAGCATGCAAAAAGGCACTGCAATGTTTAGGCAGTTCCAAAGTAAAGAGACATTTGGCAAATGTGGACCTTGTTTCAGATTTAAATTCCAGTGCTTACAACTGTAAGGAACTAATTCAACTAATTTTGTGATTCCATTCCAAGACTTGTTGTTTAAGAAATGCCTTGACTTGATCATATGATTCTATTTTTAATAGAAGAAGTATATGTTATACAATACCAACAGATATCAAAACAATATCCAAGTAATGAAATTTTAAAACCAGCTTCTATTCTTCAGTGGCTAAATCTTAACTTGATCATTCTAGGATGACTTCTTTTAGATCATACTTGAGTATATTTAAATTTGGCACACTGAGAGTCAATGCACCAATTCCCATTGGCTGGAAAAATGAAATGCAGGCATATTTGGACAATACAGAAACACACATATACTTCCTAGTTCTAGCAATCCCTATGAGACAATCTAGTTCCCAGATTTGTTACAGAGTTTTAATTTGCTAGACTCTCAATCTGCAATTCACTTCTAAAGGAAGCTGCTATACTATTCCCGCTATTTTTTCAAGCTGACAAACCATCTATTTACATGCTGCTTCCTCTTTATAATTGCAACTTTCAGCGCTGGATATTGTTTCACCTTCCTTATTTTATTCTTAACAGGGATGTGAGATGTGTACAGAAAATCTCTAAATCTCAATTAATTCATGTACTCAGTGGGGATTTGGATCAATCTCTGCCATCTTGGTTTTCCATCTAGAACTGTGATGGCGAACCTATGGCATGCGTGCCAAACATGGGGCGGGGTGCATAGAATTATGGGTGTGGGCACGTGCGCATGCGCCCCCCCGTGACCCCCACTTTTGGCACACAATGGCAAAAAGGTTAGCCATCACTGATCTAGAATGTCAGAAGATGGGTTTATTCTATCTTTGTAGGGCACTTTTATCTATTAATGTCTATCATGCAATAGATAAGTTGTCAAAATTGATTACATTATTAGCTGTGGCAAGTAAAAACATTCATTGTCCTTTGGTCAGAATAAAATTGCTAGTATATACTATTAAGTACTGAATGTAACTTGCACAGATAATGCTTTGCTGGGGACTTCAAAAATATGAAAAATAAGGTATAGAATTGGATGTGTTTGTGTGTAGTATGTGATATTTTACAAGGTCACAATTTCCAAAAGGTAGAGAAAGATTATCACAGAAATATAGAAGCAGTATTATATTCTGTACAAATCACAATTGTTTCTTAAACTTCAAAGCAGAATCTGATTGTTTTTCTATCTGTAATCGATACATTCAGACAAAAATAATAAAGCAGACTGACTAATACTTAAAACAGCTCAGAAACAATTAAAAACATATTTCATTTACAAGGCACTTCCATCAGGTATCAAATGGTGTTCAGAGAGTAACATTTAAATTGCCTGCTTCCAGTTTATCTTTCACTCAAAAATATGCATCCCAGAAGTATTAACAATGTTCTTTAAAATCACTTTTTCATGAAATGTTTTGTTTAGAAACATTTAGCTGAAAAAAATGAATGGTATGCTGTAAACAGAATGAGAATTGCCCACACACAAAAAATGAAGACAGCTAACATTTGTTAACTCAGCAAAATCCTTTCCCTCTCATCCCTCTTGAGTCTCAGCAAATACCAATTTTAAATGAATCTTGTGTAACTCAAATTTTGACTTTCCTTAGGGCAAACACTACAAATGACCTCAATTCTAATTTACCTACCTTGAAACATTGGCAATAGCATTGGAACTACTATCTTTACTCAGATGGAGATCTGGCAATAAATTTAATGATGTTTGACTTCAGATAAATTTAAGATCAATGTAAGTTGACATATAAACTTTTAACATAGAAGTTAAAAATTATAAAGGAGTTTATGAATAATTTAGATTGAATCAGATAGTCCATTTAGAATTGCATAAATGAAAATGCTATAAGACTTATTAATCATTCCTTCTAAAATTATTGATTTTCTGGAAGGCAAATTAAAATGTATATATTCCTCATTACCTATACTTTCCAGACCTCATATAAATTGCTAAATATTTTGAACTAGGCACAAATCATCAAAAACATATAATGTGGGATTTAAATCAGGCTGCAGTTTATTATTGCTAAATAACTAAATTATTCAAAATATATACACCAAGGTAAACCATGGCAGATACAACCTAGTCTTTTAATAAAGCTGCCTATAAAGAAATATTGGGTTCCTGTGACTACTTTTGAGGTAAAGATGAAGGATCTATATAGCATGCTATATAGCAGTGATGGTTAACCTTTTTGGCACTGAGTGCCGAAACTGGAGTGTACATGTGCACACCGGAGCACCAGAACCCAGAAGAGACCAGCCTGCTGGTGTGCATGTACGTGCTGGAACCCGGAAGGGACCAGCTGGCGACAGCACACATGCCCACAGAGAGGGCTCTGCGTGCCACCTCTGGCATGCGTGCAATAGGTTCGCCATCACAATTATATAGGATCTATATAGTTGGATGTGATAGCCAACCTTTATTTTTAGCAGTAGAAAACTGGGGTGATTTTTTTTTTTGCTGCAGAAAATAAAAGTCGACCTACATGTTCCTGTTAATTTGTCTGGTAAGAATTTTTATAGGAATAGACTGGAGACATTTTTATGTGTATTTTAGCAACAGCAACCTATCCATTCATGCAATAGCTACAGCTATTAAGATCCACACACTGCATTAAGTAACTGATGGTTTTACATATGGTTTATACAACAAACAGTGGTGGTCTAACTCACATATAATCCAAAACCATAAACTATGATTTGCAAACCACAGAAGCTTGATTCACAATAAAGAAAATATAAACAAACCACTTAATACAAGAGGTGATTAAATGCCTAAATGAAAAACTCAAGGAGAACACCAACCTAAAACTAAGGAGAAATTTCCTGACAGAATAATTAATCAGTGGAATGACTTGCCTTGAGAAATTGTGAGTACTCCAATGCTGGAGGTTTTTAAGAAGAGATTGGACAAAACATTTGTCTGAAATGGTATAGGTCTCCTGCTTGAGCAGGAGGTTGGACTAGAAGACTTCCAAGGTCCCTTCCAACTCTGTTATTCTGTTATCAATAAAACTATACAGTCAAAATTGATGTAGTTTCTAATATTGCTTTATCAATATTACCATAAAACATTTGGCTACTTCATAGAGAACTGAATAATCTTATACATTTTTAAGTGTATAATGCAAATACCCTTTTTGGTAAGCAGAAATTAAGTCCATTGCTATCTGACAACAAAAAGAGGTAAGAGCAAGAAAAGAGATCGCTGATATTGTGAAACCTGGAATTATGCATCACATTCCTTTTGTAAATAGTGAGCCACAGAAAGAATTTAGAGTTTGAGAGTTTGTTCTCTCAGTATCTAAGTTCCTTTATTGAAAGAGTAACATCTTCACACACATACACAAAGAGTATGAAGGAAAAAATAAGACAGTAAGGTAATAATGCCAGAATGTCAGTTTAGGAATAACATCAGCAGTAATTTCTGAGCAGTAAACCTGGATGATAATATATTCAGCCTTAAAAAATCTCTGTTTTAAACAATGATTAGGTCAGCGTCACCATTTATGCTTTATTACTACAATCGTCTCACTAAAACATAATTTTATAACCTTACACATTGTGTAGACTATTCCAACATCAGTTTCTGGGATTTTCACATAGATTCACTAAAACACCATTGTCTGAAATCCTGGAAGCTACTTTCATTTTGTGCAGAAAGTAGGTTTAATGAATCTACTAAGCTAAATCTTGATTCCATGTCTATGTCCTAATTGTATATTTCATAATATGAATGGATCTGAATGAGCAAAAGATGTGGCCTTCGAAACTCAGAAAAGATTCCCGGAATGGACAGTACTTCAAATAAGAAATATTTGAAGCAGCTCTGTGTTGCATTGTGTTTTGAGGATTTAAACCAACTTTAATGCTTATTTCAAAGATATAGTATTTGTGCATAACTTCAGTAAAAAACCAAGATTTTTTTATTCTGCTTGAAAACAAATTTATGATAGCTTCTTTTTCAACTTCCTTTTAAGTTTTCTTCAGTATTACAAATCCACATTCTTTTACTTACCTTAAATTCTGAAGGTCTGATTTTAAAAATGGTGCCATGTTCTGGGAAGGATTACTTCCATGAGGTTGACATCTGAAACCATCTTCAACAGCCAAATAATAGACTCTCTGAATAACTACTTGGACTTGGATTGCAGTGCTTTCAGTTGTCCCTTGCATCTCCACAACATCAAGAAGAGAATCATTCAAGGAAATAACTGATTCCTTAGATTCAATATTGAAACAATTCTCTGTATTTTTAGAAGTCTTCATATTGGAACAGGAAATCTATTTAAAAAATCCTCAAATTAATACATAAATTATTGGGAAATTAATTATTACATTCTTTTTAGAAGTCCAAAGACCAAACTATCCAAGTTAGTTCTTCCTGGTTTACCAAAATTGGTGAAACAGTTTCCACCATCAGTGATGAATATGTCAGCAATAGCCTCAAAATGCAGGGCTATAAAACTGGGGTCGTACTCATTTATTCAGAAGTGAAAGACATGCAATGCTTCCATCTTGCTGCCTTTAACTGTGTTTTTCAGAATGCATTCCAGAATTAGTTGGATATCATCTTTATAGTAAATCAATTTATGTTTTAGATAATACTGAACAAAAATTAGGCTATATCCATCTCTAAAAATAGAATTTCTAAAATTTAGCTTCAGTGTAAAAGTAATATCAGGCCTAAGCACATTTGTTTTTATGAAATACCCCCATATACTTATAAACTATATTCTAAGCAAAGTGAAAGCATCAAAGAACAATAATTAAACAGATAATAGAAGATTATTCTATTGGGGGAAAAAAACTAACAGGAAGGTTTAAGAGGAAGACTAATGAAGGCCAAAGCACTTGGTTCAAGCTTAGCATAAGATAAATATGAAACTAATGGAAGATGATTAAGATAATAATAATAATGATTTATTAAAATGGTAAGATTATTTAAAGCAGAGTAAAATCCAACCCAATTGGCCTTCAGCCAAATTCCATCTTCCTTAATATTTCCTCCATTTAGATTCCCTTCCCTCTGTGCCATGGGTACTTTTTCATAAACCCAGGTCTTCAAAACCTACAAGAGCCAGCACAACCACACAGATCCCTCAGCAACACATACACAAGGACTCAAAGGCTAAGTATACTGCACAGTAGTCTACGTTTTCCCACTTCTACTATATCTCCTCCTACTGCTCCTTCAATTATTACTCTTTATATGAGTTCTACTGCTAGATAACAGTAAGTCTTTCTATCTGCACTTTTGGCTTCTTCAGGCTACTTTACAAACATTTACAAATACCAGGACTCCTAACTACCTCTCTGTTCTGCTTTTATAACCAACAATTGCTGTGCAGGCTAGGGACAGGACTTAAAGGGACAGGACAACGGTACTAAAGTTGCTGGCCATTTTGTAGGCAGTCTGTCCTCTCACAAAGGACAGTCTTTTTCCTTTTAAAAGAAGAAGTCAAACCTTTGTTTCCCACCTGCTTCTATACAGAAAAAAAACCACTCCATTCAGGAAAAGTAGGAGAAGATAACTCCCTATCCCTTCTCCATGAAGTGTCTTTATGGAGGAAAAAGCATGGAATCACTTAGCTTCTATGTCCTTCTGCAGAAATCAAGAGATTCTTTCAGTGATATGATAGTTTGCTTTCTAAGTCCTCCCACATAGGCAGGGTTTTAAGTAAGGGACAAGTTTGTTATCCAGGCCTCTCTGAGCCACACAAAGTCAATAGATCAGCCAGTACTACTTTAGACTAATTATCTTCTGTTAGTAAATTATTCTGGCTATTTATTATCCCAAAACATTTTCTATCTAGAGGAAAGAGAAAAAGGTCTGCAAGAGAAAAAAAATAAGATTACAAAAACAGCTCTAAACCACTTTGTAAAAATTGTTTATGTTTTTTAAAATGTGAACTGTTTGAGAAAGCAGGGAATTCCTTCAAATGAAGAAATCAATAAATAGTTATTTGAATCAGGAGGAAGTGCTAATTCCTGGTAAAGAAACTATATGTTGGGAAAACGGAGCTTTATAAACACATGCTCAATATTGAAAATTATATGTTTAAAGCTTTTCAATTTACCTTGTATCTTTCTCATACAAAATACATTTGTATTTATATTTAAATTCTCCAAACTGATTTCCGGTAATAAACAAAATACATGGTAAGATTTTTTTAAAATATATCACAAAATAACACATTGCAATTTTGGAGGAGAGTAACAAAAGAAAACTTTCTGTAGATCGCATGCATTTTTTATTGCAATTTACACTGAATATAAAAACTCTACACACACCCTTCAAAATCCCAGGTTTTTGAGATGTAAAAAAATCAGATCAAGATAAATCATTTCATAATTTTTTCCCATCTTTAATATAACATATAAACTGCATAATTTAATTTAATTTAATTTAATTTAATTTAATTTAATTTAATTTAATATTTAAATTTATATACCGCCCTTCTCCCAAAGGACTCGGCAGTGAACAGCCATAGATAAAAAACATAGAATACAAAATTTAAAAACAATTTAAAAATATTAAGCAATTTGGGCCGACAGTTAAAATCCCCCATTTAAAATTAAAATTAAAATTACACCATAGGAGAGTTAGGCCAGCCCGGCTTGATGAAATAAAAAAGTTTTGAGGGCCCGATGGAAAGTACGTAGATCCAGAATCGTCCATATCTCCGGGGGGAGCTCGTTCCAGAGGGCAGGTGCTCCCACAGAGAAAGCTCTCCCCCTGGGGACCACCAGTTGACATTGTTTGGCCAACGGCACCCGGAGGAGCCCCTCTCTGTGTACTCTCTCTCTGTCTCTCTCTCTCTGTGTACTGGCCGGTGGGAGGCTCTCGGTGGCAGAAGGCAGTCTCGTAAGTATCCAGGTCCTAAGCCATGGAGCGCTTTAAAGGTGGTCACCAACACCTTGAATCGCACCCAGAGGACCACCGGGAGCCAGTGCAGCTCAATTGAAAAACTGAAATATTTTAGGGGGAAAATAACAATAAAAACTTATAACAATGTGGTTGTATAAGTGTCCATATCCTTAAACTAATATTTGTTGAAGACATCATAAAACATCTTGTCCTGGAGATCTTTGCCCACTCTTCCTTGAAAAAGTGCTCCAAATCTGTCAGATTGCAAGGGCATCTGCTGTGCACAGTCCTCTTTGGGTCACCCCAGATTTTCAATTGGATTCAGGCCCAGGCTCTGGCTGTGCCACTCCAAAATTTTGATCTTCTTCTGGAGAATCTATTCTTTTGTTTATTTAGAGATATGATTTGGGTCACTGTCTTACTGAAAGATGAAATTCCTATTCATCTTCAGCATTTTAGCGGACACCTGAAGATTTTGCGCCAAAACTGATTGCTATTTGGAACTGAACTATCTTGATTTAAGTCTCGGTTCCAGTTGAAGAAAAACAGCCCCAAAGAATAATGCTGCCACCACCAAGCTTCACGGTGAGTATAGTGTACTTTGGTGATGTGCAATTATTTTTATGCCAAACATACCTTTTGGAATTGTAGCCAAAAAATTTTAACTTAGTATCATAAGACCATAACACGTTTTCCCCCATGCTTTTGTTGGGTTTGATGTAGTTTTTTGCAAACTTTAGTCACACTTGGTTTGTTTTTTTTTGTTTTTTTTAAGAAAGAAAGGCTTCTGTCTTACCACCCTACTCCACAGGCCAGACATATGAAGAATATGGAAATTGTTGTCACATACATGTAGTACACAACCAGTACTTGCCAGATATTCCTGCAGCTCCTCTAATGTTACTATAGCCTCTTGGCAGCTTTTCAGGCCAATTTTCATCTTTTTTTAAAATCAAGTTTGAGGGACATCCAATTCTTGGTAATGTCACTGTTATATTTTCTCCAGTTGTTAATGATTGTCCTCATTGTGTTCCCCGGTATATCCAATGCCTTGGAACATTTTTTATACTCTTCTCCTGACTGGTATCTTCCAACAAGGAGATCTGTTTGATGTTTTGTAAGCTCTTTGTAGACCTGTCTCTTTTTGTAGACAGGTCTACAAACAGCTTACAAAGAGTCTCTTTGTAGACAGGTCTCTTGCTGTCATAGGCAAATGAATACAGGTAATCCTCCACTTATAATAATTGAGTGCCAAATTTCTGTTGTTAAGTGAGATATTTGTTAAGTAAACTTTGCCCCATTTTATGACCTTTCTTGCCACATTTGTTAAGTGAATCACTGCGGTTGATAAGTTAGTAACCTGGTTGTTAAGTGAATCTGACTTCCCCATTGACTTTGCTTGTCAGAAGGTCGCAAAAGGTGCTCACAAAAGGTGCTCACATAATCCTGGGACATTGCAACCTTCAAAAATACCTGCTGGTTGCCAAGTGTCTGAATTTTGATCATGTGACCATGGGGATGCTACAATGGTCGTCAGTGTGAAAAAAATGTCAAATGTTATTTTTTTCAGTGCCATTGTAATTTTGAATGGCCACTAAACAAACTGTTGTAAGTCGAGGACTACCTGTATATCCCAAAAAACAATCCTACTAGATTAGCTGAACTTTATATGGGCTTGATCAGAGTCACCTTAATTGATGGCAGGTATGAACTGACTACTATCTAACATTAGTTTGAATGTGACTGATTAATTTTGAACATAGAGACATTGCTACTTATAAGAAGGTGTGCACACTTATGCAACCACATTATTGTAAGTTTTTTATTGTTATTTTTGCCCCTAAAATATTTCAATTTGTTTTTCAAACAACAGTTTTTCACTGTTGGCAAAGTGCTCGCCTAGAAACTGTGGAGACTGTGTTTACTCCCACTTTAGGAATGAAAACCAGCTGGGTAATTGTAGGTCAGTCACTGTGAGGTGAACCCACCTCACAGGGTTGTAGTTGTGAGGAGAACAGGAGGAAGAAGTATTAGGTACTTTTGCCACCTTGAGTTACTAATAAAGTAATAAAGATGGGATAAAAATTTAACAAACAAATAAAATACATAAAGTCACAAATGGCAACCCCATGACTGCAGGCAAGTGAATAGCCAGAACTATGAGAACCAGTCAGAAGTACAATTCTTTCAGCCTTCCCCCCTTGAGTTTGAACAGTTGCTGATCAAGTGTTTATTAAATGAAGACCACTTGTACTAGAGACTGCGGGAGAAAAATGCTTGTAAAAATATGAAACTTGTTCCCTATCAAACGTTCAAATTTGCTCCAATGGGAAAATATACAAATTCTTGTGTTCATTATTTTCAAAGATTTATTCATCAATTTATTATAAAACATTAAATCATAAAATAAACCTTACCGGATTTGCAGGTGTTAAAGAGCAATTGTCTTTTATATCAGATAAATTAAATACCCAGGCTAAAGATACATTCCTTTTAGCAAGCATTGGCTCTTGCAAGAGGGGCTTGTCCATATCAGTAGGTATATCTGTTGATTCTTTAAGAGTGACCTTTTGACTGAAATATGTATTCAAGATAACTGGAATATTTTCATTCTGCAGAAAGAGTTTTTGCCTGAAACAATGGATACATTTTGTTAGCTTTCAAATTATTTTGAATGATGATCTACTTCAGTTTTATGTATTAATTGCTTTCCTGCACTTAAACACAATGAATGAAAATTATTAATTTGTTTTAACGATATGAAGGTATTAAAATATTTTTTAAATTTAATTAATTAGTTTAACAAAATTATTAGTAATGAGCTCAGTTTTAGCTATGCAAAGACATGAAATATTGACCAAATGACACCATGTAAAAGAGAACTGCAGTTCAACATATTTCAAATTTGAAGATTTACTTGCGTCTTTAAAAAAGCACTTAAAATCATAAAGTTAGCACAAATGCTAAGAGTAATTACAGAGGTTTTATTTGTACTTTATTTATTTTTTAAAAAAATACAATTCCATATATACAAAAAGAATGCACACAAATAATTTTAATGACATTTGTGAATAAATGCGGAATGTTGACGCCAACTATAAGCAATTTGAATTAAGAAAATTAGAATAGAGTGGTTACTAGGACTTCTAAAACTAGAACGACACAATTTTTTCCTATGTTTAATATTCTATATTTAAACTTTTCGCATACCATAGCATAGAATTCTTTATTGACCAAGTGTGATTGGATACACAAGGTGCATATGCTCCCTGTGTACATAAAAAGAAAAAAATACATTCATCAAGAATCATAAGATACAACACTTAGTGTTAGTCATAGGTTAATAATAAGCAATCAAATCAAACCAGGAAACAAACAAAACAATATAAATCGTAAAGATACAAGCAACATGGTTATAATCATAAGTGGGAGGAGATAGGTAATAGGAAGGATGAGAAGAATAATAGTAATGCAGTCTTAGTAAATAGTTTGACAGTGTTGTGGGAATTAGTTGTTTAGCAGAGTGATGGCTACTATTCGATACTATAAATATATACATATAACCTCTACCTCTACTCAAGGCCCCAGCTCAACAGCTGCATAAACAAATAGAGACAGAACCATTTGGAATGGTAAAAACAACAAAATGAGAACATACAGTATATAGCAAAGTATATACTGTATACTGTGACGGGCAAATCTTAAAATCAGCAAGATGTATAATTTAAGTGAGTCCATTTTATTACTCATATACAACCATTAGTGAAAATTAAATAAAAAATGATGAGAAACAAAACATTCTGGCATCTGTTATCAGAGAATCGTGGGTTTTTTGCTACTGTCAGAGAGTTGCATTTTTTCAAACTGGCACATTAAGAGGCCACTGCCTTTTCTCCCAAAAGAAATACAATACTGAAAAATGGAAACAATATAGCACATGAATAGATTCTATCATTAAATTCTCAACTTACAACAGTTTGTTTAGTGACCATTCAAAGTTACAACAGCACTGAAAAATGTGATTTATGACCGTTTTCAGTTAAGACCTTTGCAGCAGCCCCATTTATTTATTGTTTTATTGGTTCGATTTATATGCCGCCCTTCTCCGGAGACTCAGGGCGGCTTACAATGTGTTAAGCAATAGACTTCATATTTTTGTATATACCTGCTTAGTTGGGCTTTCGACCCCCTTAAGCGGTGTTCAAAGTCAGCTTATTGCCCCCACAATCCGGGTCCTCATTTTACCTACCTCGGAAGAATGGAAGGTTGAGTCAACCTTAAGCCTGGTGAGATTTGAACTCGCAGTAATTGCAGGCAGCTTGCAGCTAAGTGCTACTTAACAGCACTTTAGTCCACTGCACCACCAAGGCCCATGATCATGAGATCAAAATTCGGATGCTTGGCAACTGGTTCATATTTATGACTGTTGCTGTTTCCCAGGATCACAATCTTTTTGTGATCTTCTGACAAGTAAAGTCAATGGGGAAGCCAGATTCACTTAACAATTGGATTACTAATGTATCAACTGCAGTGATTCACTTAACAACTGTGGCAACAAAGGTTGTAAAATGGGGCAAAACTCATTTAACAAATGTTTCACTTAACAACAGAACTTTTGAGCTCAATTGTAATCATAAGTATTTGTAATTGTATTCTTACAATTACATTTATTATTATATACCAAGGCACTGTCCAGGATTCTTTAGAACATAAAAACAAGTTTTCAGAAATAAGTATCAGTTGCTGTGTATGGTAGCATCACTTTTTTTAAAAAAAGATTTATTTTTACAAAAACATTAAGAACACTTTTAAAATCCAACCTATACCTTTATATCTATTTTTCACAAGATCAGTTAAAATTGATTAATTTACCATTTAATCTACCATTTTCTTAAATTATGTGGGTTACACGCCATATCCTAAATTAGAGCATAACGGGCAGAAGGCAGATATCATCCAAATACATGAAGGCCTCTAGATTTTTACAGTAACAAAAGCATTGATTTTCCTAGAAAATAATTTCCCTCAAAGCATTAAGAGCTGTCTGCATATTCTGGATTTAAAATGCCTTGACTGATGTAATAAGAGTTAGAGAACAACAGAGTTGGAACGGACCTTGGAGGTCTTCTAGTCCAACCCCCTGTTCAGGCAGGAAACCTTATAACCTTTCAGACAAATCGCTGTCCAATTTCTTCTTAAAAACCTCCAGTGATGGAATACTGACAACTTCTGAAGGCACATTGTTCCACTGATTAATTGTTCTAACTGTCAGGAAATTTCTCCTTAGTCCTAGGTTAGTTCTCTCCTTGATTAGTTTCATCCATTACTTCTTGTTCTGCCTTCAGGTGCTTTGGAGAATAGGTTGACCCCACCCATCTTCCTTGTGGCAGCCCCAAAAATACTGGAAAACTGATATCATGTCACCCCTAGTCTTCTTTTCATTAAACTAGACATACCCAATTTCTGCATTCGTTCTTCATATATATATAAGAGTTTTTCGATTCTGTGTTTTATCTAATTATATAAAACAATGTAGAATAACATACCTGTAAATTTTAAAAAGCCAATAAAATAAATCAATTGTGATTTGGGGAGAAGTTTTGAATAAAATAGTTATTCATTTAAATGGATTCAGGAAGATAAACAATTAAGCTGAGGTTATTCTGAAGTCTTGGTGAATTCCATAATATAAAAAGTAAAGAGGAAACTCTGTAAATGTCCTTACATAACCCCACAGTCTTGAATAATGCCCCTTTTATTCAAAGCATCATGATCACTGCCTGCTTCATAGCACAAAAAATTTATAATGAATTGTAATATTGAAAAGTTGAAACCTCTGTTCAATTTTATAAAGTTGAATATATATTTCAGATAATTCAACAATACTTATTTTTAAAAAGAAATCAAGAAAAGAAAAAAGGGAGGGTAACGTTACTTCCCAACTATAAGTTGCTCTGTCAATCTTTTACAAAGACAATATTTCATGGGCAACTTTAATCACTACACTACAAAACTATTAGCAGCTCAAAATAAAAATATGATGATGATATGATAAATATGATATAATATAATAGGATAATAAAAATATTGGAAAGTTTAATCTTTCAGAGATTTATGATTTATGTATAAGTCATATGTTATTTATTCAGGAAATGTAGCTAAATATATCATCACTAGATACATACATGGCAAGAAAATATGTAGTATATAGGTAGCTTTCGATCACCCCCTCTCACCCCCCACCCCCCACCCGTGCTGAAGGTTCTGAAGAACTTCCTCTCTGTACAGATAGTCCTTGGGTTATGACAGAAATTGGGACTGTATAACTGGTGGCCAAAGTCAAAACCATCTGAATCATCAATTCAACCATCCTATAGGCTCTGTAACATATTCCACAACCCATGTCTTATGGCATAACCAGGTCTTCAAAGCTGTATGAGGGGCCACCAGAGTTGGAACTCTGTGCCAGATCTATCCACTGTGCCAGATGTTTGACAACCACTATTTAAATTACTGATGTTCATATAAGTATTCACAAAGCTCTGCCCAGTAGCAATTAGTTATAGTGGCCCACATAAATGGAGAAAACACACAATCCAGCAGAAATCATACTGCTTCTGCAAAGAAAATGTAAACAGTCTTTGTATATATTGTTATCTGACAATTATTTTCTTCTACTTTTCCAATTTTTCTCTGCCTATAGAGAATTCATCATAGCCTGAAGTGAACACTTGTTCACACCAACCTACTCCCCCCATATCAGGAGCCAGATTTATATTGGGAAAGAGGGATCATCTGCAATTTGTGATTGAAAAATTGTACACGCTGACACTACTCTTGTGATTGCTGTTGTATCTTGTTGAGTTTTGGAGGGTTTAATGTATGTTTTTAATACAAGATTTAATTTAGTATGTCAAACAAACTTTAGGAAGAACAGTTGAAATTAAGGGAACATTGTATGATGAACTAAGAGCCATATTCTTGCATAAAATATAAATGAACTGATTCATCTTTGGGGGATTTCCCTTCTCTCTTACCTAATCTCTTCCAGGATACCGTGCTCACAAGGAATTCTTTTCATTTAGCCAGTTACAATACGCCGAAGAAGGCAAGTTGCCAAATAGCAAACACAATGAGTACATGAGCATTTAAAAAAATACACAAAAAAAGCATTCAATTTCATGTGAGAGGAACACTTTTCATTGCAACTGTAATTTGAAACCTGCTTTATAAAAGAACGCTTTAAAACAGAAATATTGTTCCTTACCAGCAAATCTACTAATTATTGAGGAGCCAAGGCCAACCTGTCAACAAAATACAAACATTTATCTCACAATAAATGGGTGCAGCAAACCTACAAAATATGAGAAGTAAGAAATGAGGCAAGTGAAAATCATTACTAAAGAAGGCTACATTAATAAAATCAAGTACTGGAAGTAGAGAAGAAGACTAGAATCAAGACAAGTCTTAGTCTAAATAGATGAAAACAAAGTGGTTAGGATTCCACTCTTTATCCAAAAATTAAAAGGTAGTATAAAAATCAATAGTTTTGCTGAATTACATTTAAAAGGAAATATTTAATGCATTTGTTAAACTACTTCCTTTTTCTTCTACAACCACACAAGGCCTTT